TGCGGATTCGCAACGACAGAATCGCGCCAATGTGCGCTTCGCTTTATGATTAATAATTCGTACACCTAGAATCGATGATATTAGGTGTATCGATTTATCAACATCGCTATTTTATGCAAAATCGATCGTTAAGATCTCATTTCTATCGTGCAAGCACTCTCTAAATCAAGCGCTTTAGCTTGGCACTTTAGTATATAAATCAAGTGCCTTTAGTAGTTTTAATAATTTATATTCATTACAAATCTGGATGAGTACTTAATAACATGGTGAACACGGGAGATGTTTATATTGTATCCGCTGCGCGCACAGCCATTGGTAAGCAACAGCTTTAACGAACTACATTTAAAACATGAACTCGTTCAATAATTTTTGATTAAAGGTAGCTTCAATGGATCACTTTCTAAATTGAAAGCTTCCGAGCTTGGTAGTATAGTTATTAAAGAAGTATTGAAGCGAAGCAAAGTAAAAAATAGTGATGTGGACGAAGTTATTATTGGTCAAGTGAGTATTAGTAAGATAAGAAAATACGGTTATAAGACATGCTGATGTAATAAATCTTTTTCTTTTGCCAATATAGAGCCTTACAGCTGGTCAGGGCCAAAACCCCGCAAGGCAAGCGGCGCTGCAAGCAGGACTTCCCATTACTGTTCCCGCATACAATATAAATATGCTTTGTGGTTCTGGTTTGAAGTGTGTAAAATGCAGTTTTGCCGTTGATTAAATTCACGTTCATATAACCGTATTTTTCAGAACTGTGGCCTTAGGTTACCAATCTATACGCGCTGGAGATTCTAAAATTGTAATTTGTGGCGGCCAAGAGAGCATGTCTATGGCACCACACGTTATTCATTTACGAAATGGTATCAAAATGGGTGCTGGTACAATGTTAGATACAATGTTACATGATGGTCTAACCGATGCTATGCATAACATTCATATGGGTGTTACAGCCGAAAACTTAGTAAAACAGTATAGTCTTACGCGGAGTGAACAAGATGAATATGCAGTTCGTTCACAAAACTTAGCTGAAAATGCTCAGAAAAATGGTTTCTTCGAAAAGGAAATAGTACCTGTTGAAATGAAAACGCGTACTGGAACACAAATTTTTGATAAGGATGAGTATATCAAAACTGGTACCACAATGGAATTATTGAAAAAATTAAAGCCTGTTTTTATTGATGTAAGCTAATTGAATTTATAAACTTTAAATACTCAATCGAAACACGCATTCATTTATATAGAATGGATCCGTCACAGCCGGAAATGCATCTGGCATAAATGATGCTGCAGCGTTAGTGTTGTTAATGTCCGGTGCTGAGGTAGAGGAACGATCTATTAAACCTATGGCTAAAATTGTTGCGTGGGCGCAATCTGGAGTAGAACCTGATGTAATGGGTATTGGACCCGTAACAGCGGTAGAAGCAGTGGTAAGTATTGGAATTATAAATGAATTAATATAAATTTATAAACTATATATATATATATTTTTTTTTACAAAGCTACTTAAGGCTGGATGGTCAAAGGAAGAAGTAGATCTATTTGAATTAAATGAAGCATTTGCCGGTCAATCGATTGCAGTATTAAAGGGTCTAAACATAAACTCCGACAAAGTCAATGTTAACGGCGGCGCAATCGCACTGGGCCATCCGATAGGTGCATCTGGTTGTAGAATTCTAGTCACGCTATTGTATGCCCTAGAAAGATTAAACGTAAAAAAAGGTGTAGCTTCATTGTGCATTGGCGGCGGCATGGGTATCGCTATGGCTATTGAACGTGTTTAGAGTAAATCTTATAATTTACAACCCACAAACATACATACAATCGTATTCATATCTACAAAGTACTACTATATAAACATACATACATACATTTGTATGCACATATGTATGTACAATTATGTCAAAATATTTTCAAATGCAAATGTCGACTGCAACAACAGTCGGTGTTAAGTGTCAAATGTTACCAAACTTGTTTGTAAAGTTATTTCTAAAAAATCACTGAATAATAAAGAGAAAGCATACATAAGCACATACTTACTTACATCATGTGCACACATGCATGTATGAAGATATATGCAACCATACTCGTAACGTTTAATGCTCGCTTTACCTGATGGTTTTAAAGTAAACAAGAGTTTTTAGTTTTCTCAAAATAGAGTAAACACACAAACTTCGACTTGGATGAACGTACAAATGACGCAGTCAGTTATCGCTCGGCGATATCCATCGCCGTTCACATAAATTTGTGTATCGTGATAACTTTCTACAACTATTCTGTTTCGTCGAAGAACAGTTGCTCTCATAATCCTTAATTCCTCTGATTTGGAGCTAATTTTCCATACGTTTTAAAAGCCAGCAATGAGCGTACCAAAATATACAAACTAAAAATGCAATAAATTTTAAAACTACGTACATATGTATGTATACACATTTATGTATATTGAGCTAATTCATATTCTTAAAGCCAATTTATAATACTTTATACAATATAAAAGCTCGGCCAAACACTAACATATGTATGTGTAAGCGCCAATCTATTATTATTATTATTAAACAATATAAAATACATTTTGAGCTTACATATTTTAAGTAATTTTGACTTCATTGCATTCTAGGCTTTTCAAAAATATCAATGGATCGCAGCATTAACTCCATTGCTACCTTTCCGGATAATATGCCATTCAACTCCATGTAGTTCCATACTGATCCCATGAAAATGCAAAATAATAAAGCTACTGATATTGAAAACTTGAATATTATATACAATGTTCTAAATCCCACTGGCGCCGGATATTCTAAAAAAACTACCAAGATAAATGCGAGAATAACCGCGACACTGTAATAAAATATACGATCAATATTTAATTGATCCAAAGACATTTCACATAAAGATATGGATTCTTGCAATACATCAACACGTCTGGATACAAGGTATTCATTCGTTTTTATAAAAGCCTCGCAATTTTGGTCACCAATACGCTCTACGTGGTTCAGAAGTGCATTAACAGCAGAACTAGCCTCTTCGCAAATCGAATGTGGTGATTCATCTAAATTTAACTTAGTCAAGACTGCTTCATGGTCTGAAAAGCTAAAATTATGTCCAGGTACTCGCTCACTTAATGGTAATCCATAGTCGAGAATAGACAGTTTAAAGTTATCAGAACTTCTTGCAAATATATGATCTATATGTATGCCGTGGGATTTATTGGCATTAATGGCTGTAGACGTATACGAGTTTTTATAATACTCATTTGTAAAAATGTTTTTCGAAATGCAACAATCTTTCATTTTTGATGTATACAGAAGAACCCTGAAAACAAAGAAGAGCTTGATTAAAGATAAACAACACGCATTAATCAACAAATTGTGGATTATACATAACATTCAACAAATGATAGGAATGCACATCAAAGTAGCACACATAAATGCTAACCAAACTAATAAAAATTTCTGGCAATTTTGTCTGTAATAATTACTTGTATGTTAAATCATGTGGTTGGGCATTTAAATCGCCAGCAAGCACTTGTAAAACAGAGTCGCCCTTTGTTGCACGTATAAACTGTGCCGTGTCAAAAGCTTGAATCACACGATGAGTCTTGTAATCGTCATTTTTGTTACTATATTCTGCATGTAACTAAAAAAAAAATGAACAAAAACTAATGCAATTTCGTTAAAAATACGAGGAGCAATTGATCATATCTTACATGAGTGTTGTACAGATTTACAACTTGCTTGTCAACCAATATTCGGCACAGTCCAACTCCTTTGCCTCCAAACCAGTCTGCATGCTGGATGCGATGAAAATAACCATTAACACTCCATGGGTGAAAGAAAGAACTTAAAATGGGAAATCTAGATAATACTAGCAAGCCAGACCCGACAACGCCACTAAAATGGACACGAGCGTTTAACCTCCAATATAATATTTATGTATGTTTTATATTTACCTATAAAAATAGTGAGAATAAGGCAATACGGACTCTGTGGCTTTCTTTAAATCCTCACAATCTTTGCGAGACCAAACTTCTTGCAATGATACAATATCATAATTCCCTGAACTAACCTCTAAACCAATAGCTGCAATGCGAGCCACTCTGTCCTTGGATACAAATGGAAAAGGAATTCCCCTGAGGATATGTAACGAGGTAAAAATCAATATCGTCTTCATTAATTAAGATTTATTAATAAACGTTTCAGGCAAATAGAATCTGTAAAATTAAAACTCATTTTAGTTGTTCAGATACTGCCAGTCGGACTTTGCAATAAACTGATTTTGGCACTGCAAGTCATTGCTGCTTACCAAACATTAAGCGTTAAAATACTTAAATTTAGTAACATTTTCGAGAAAAAAAAATATATTTGTTTATCTTAGCGATACAATTTTTTTATCACCCAGGAATTAATCGATAGAAAAAGTAGTCATCTGTCATGTTACAGTCTGTTAATACAGGTTTGAGCTTTTACCATGTTGTTCTGACTGATATCGTAAACATGTTTTCAATAGGGTCTTCATCTAAAGTGATAAAGATATAAATTGCTTAAATTTATCAGTTTATCTGCCTTCTTTCATGAACGCACCTATGTAAATAATTGCATAAAACTGTTTATTATTTAACTTATATGGCTAGTTGCGTTTCATTCTTACCTCGTACATTGTGTCCATTTGTTTTTGTGTTCGTAGCAAAACGACTATCTGGCAACCTGTAAGGGTTTAATTTTGCTAAAATTTCGGATTTATTGTTAATTGGCTGGCCAAACTAAAATAAGGATGAAGGTGAGAGGTTGCTAATGAAAAGAAAATGAGGGAAAAGCATTTTGTTTTTTTTTTTTTTGTAGCAAAACTCTAAACAAAGGATATAAGAAATATCAACGAAAACACTAGCAGCCGGTGTGAACAGCCTTCAGCCCACAATCCCAAAACTCGTTTTCAAAGTGTTTTCCTTGTCGGTCAGAACATGGTATATTTGAGTTTAACATTTAAAAAAAAAAACCTATCCAAGCCTATGTCAGCTTTCAGACACGTCAAGTTTTGCTTTCAAGTCTGCTCGTTCCATAGCGCAGGAGGTGAGAAGAGAGGGGAAGAGTACAGATTTCTGCATACCCACAATGCAGCGAAGCAAAAAGCCTGATTATGGCTTATAGGCTGTTTTTGCTTACGCGTAAAAGCACATTTAGCGCATTTAGCTCTAAATGCTACTCTAAATGTACATTTATCCATACAAAATTCGTCACCTAAATGCAACTAAATGCAACTCCATTTTTGCATTAAGAATCTAAATGCTAAAAGCAACCCTGTGATCTTCCAAAATTTCCACGATTCGAACATGGTTTAAAGAGAAAAGGTGGCAACATTGCTTTTTCGAGTATACAGTTGCTAGCTGCGTTTCAGTGATCGCCGATCGAGATTTCTTTTATTTTGCATTACATATTTGGATAAAGAAAGGTTAAGCAAATTCAACATCGATTTGATGCTGATAGAAATCTGGATCAATTTGTAATCAATTCTGTTTGGTTTGTTTCCTAATTAAGTGAGGAAATTTTAATTGACAGCACCGACAAATGAATATATACACAAACAAATGTTCGGTTATGGTTAAAACAATACAATTTTTTGTATTGAATTTTTGGTTTAAAATTAATTTTTTCCTTTTCAGTAGGGTTTTTGCATATTATCTCCTGCGTGAGAATTGATCGTAATATATACGCATCTAAATAAGAGACTGGAACACGGCTGTTTGTCAAAAGCATACGATTTCGAACTCGCGTAAATGTACATTTGCTAAATGCTATAGCATGAACGCTTTTCGAAAACATATGTTCGAAAGTGCTAAATGTTGCATTTTAAATGCAGCAAAAACGCTGCATTACCTTAACTTAACGGAACGTAGAACTTAGAGAAACAAAATGAAACAGATTTCGACGTGGTATTATGTTACGTTAAGTTTTGGCTGTTCAATTATAAGCAACACCCATTTAACAGAATTTTTATGAGAGAGACCTAAGTTACGTTAAGTTGCTATGATCAGACCAAAAGATGGCGCCTTCCGCAGACCGCCAGTCCTCTCTTTCTCGACTTAACAGCACCCACCCTTTCGCTGACGTCACATTATTATTTTTTCGCACTAGTGACAAATATTAAATTTTCATATTGTACCAAATTACCGAAAAGTTGTTCCTAAAAGTAGATATACGTACCTAAACGGTAAACATGTATTTTTATGTGCATAAATTTTTGGTAGTTGGTGGACTACATCTTCCTTTTGTACCATAATAATTTTTCTACTTACATGAAACAATATTTAACTACGTTCCAAATGCACCTAAAATAATGTGCTTGTGCCGATTGTACGTTCAAATTTAAGAAGCTGAAGAGTAGGTACAATTCAACCTAGTTTTACATCACTATTTCGCACCACTTTTCGCTTCTTCCTCTTCTTCCTCAAAATTATTCTTTACACTCTCATTCTCAAAATAATGTGACGTCACACCCAGTTACTCTCCCAATGAGAGAAACTTACTAAGTTTTATGCGAACAGGGATTGGCAAACTTTTGCAGGCCTCACTGTCAGCTGGCGTCTACGATTGCATATCGAACATAATAGGTTTGTTCCAAACGAGCCCGCGGGTACCCGGGGGTGCCCAAAACAGCCCAGAAAGCGTTCCTCGCTCTAGAAAAATGGGTAATAGAGAGCGCATTCGACTTTTGGATCGTAAATGTCTTCTTCTTCGTGCCCAAAACAGCCCGAACCAAGGCGAATCGCAACAAGATTGTTCATTTTTAAATTTAACGAATTTGTTGATTTAAATTAATATTGACAAAAATGCAACCGTGTACCACAATTCTGCTTGCAAATTAATTCGCCTTGATATCCCCTACTTTACAAGTTTTTGTGTACGAAAACGCCAAAACATGAAATTTGCAAAAATGTTTCTGGGCTTTAAGCGAAGCGCACATTGGCGCGATTCTGTCGTTGCGAATCCGCAAGCCCAAAAATTACAACAATGCTACCCATACATTTTAATGCGCTAGCGCACACTTGCACGATTCCGTCGCTGCGAATTTTTCGAACATTCAATGTTCCTCTCTATTAACGCGTTCGAAACGCGGCTTGCAGCGTTTTGAAGGCGTCAAAGAAGAAGAAGAAAGGTGTCACAGCAATAAAGGCATGGAAAAAAAAAACGTGTAATGTACAAAAACTAATAAAAACGTTCGTAATAATAGTATTTTGTACGATTTGGGCACGCCGAGTGCGAAAATACACGAAATAAAGGGAAAATTGAGTGAATTGTACATCGGAAATCGACGCGAAAAAATCGCTCAAGTGTGCGCACGTTTGCGGATTCGAAGTTAACAGCCGAATTCGCAACGTATTCGCAACTATGGAATCGCGCTAATGTGCGCTTCGCTTTACTGGAAATGGGTAAACAAACACAGCTATTATTAGGGTTCGAAATTTCAGACTTTGGTATCGATACTGAGTACTCATTCCGGCATCGAGCTCATGGTATCGATACTCTAAAAGTATCAGGGAAAAAGTATCGATACTACTGAGTATCGGACTCATTAAAATACGTTTTTTGGGATACTAAAAGTATTTTATTCTTCAATCGTATATCTAGTTATTTCCTGAAATTAAAACAATAGAAATTTAAATTATTTGATTTTTATTTCATTGAAGAACTTACTTTCACTTTAGAAGTAATTTTAACATTAAATATATATACATATAGATTGGCGCTTACACATATGTTAGTGTTTGGCCGAGCTTCTCCTCCGATTTGTGGCGTGCGCCTTGATGTTACACAAAGAGGAGGGACCTGCAGTTTTACGCCGACTCCGAACGGCGATTGTATTTTTATGAGAAGCTGTTTTTTAAGGCAGAAATACACTCGGAGGTTTGCCATTGCCTGCCGAGGGACGACCGCTGTTAAGAAAAAACCTTTTTTCTATATTTTTTGAGATGTGGCTTTAACCAGGGCTTGAACCCAGGCGCTTAGGAGTGGAAGCGCGCACTGCTTACCACTACATCACAGCGGCCGACATACATACATACATATGTATATATATATATATATATATATATATTTATTTATACTTTCACGAATTTCAAATTTTATTAAGAAATTTGTGTAAACTTTTTGGGTATGCATTTTTGTAGCCTATTCAATTTTAGTATAATAATGTGCAAGTTTGAATTAAAAGTCAACGGTAGCAGGGAACACGTAAATTTGAATAGGTCACAAATCTGCATACCCAAAAAGTTTCTAAAATTTCTGCATTTTCGTTAACTTTGCGTAAAGTTTTATGGCCTTATTCATAAAAAAATAAAAAAGGTTTAAAAACTGAAAAATGTAATTTTATTAAGCTTTTTAAACCTACTTTATTTTTTTTATGAATAAGGCCATTAAATTTTAACTTATTTGGTTTATGTTATGCAACAGACTACACGCAATTTCAGTTTATTTTCAGTCATGGACAAAATTGAATGATAGTAATCCATATAAGCAAAGGCAATAGGTTTGTTCGTCGAGCAAAAAATTTGTACGAATTTGTACGAATTATCACGATTTTTGCCCAAATCGCGTTCGTGCAGACCAAAAAATTATCCAACACTCAAAAATTGTGAGAGCAAAGTGACAGTTCTCTTGGAGAGAAGTTGCAAATTCTTGCTGGAAAAAATTTTGCCAGCAAGAATTTGCAAACACGAAAAACATGTGGTTGTGGCGCATGGTTGCATTTTTGTCTACAATAATTTGAATAAATTAGTTCGTTAAATTTAAAAATTTATAAACACGAGCGATTTTTTATGAAAAAAGGAAGTAAATAATTGTTGATATAATTAATTTAGTTAATTCCAATGATTTGAACTTAATTCGGCTGAAAAAAATGGTATTCGCAATAGGAATGCAATTGCAACCAGAGTCGATTTAAGAAAGCTAGTACGATGAAGAAATTGAAATGTATGTTAAAGAAAGTCAGAACAACAAGAAATATACATGTATATCCTGTTTTTGGCCATCCGAAAGAATTTTAAAAATTCTATACAAATTTTTTATGTTTGAAATGCAATCGTGGACGCCAGCTGGCAGGGAAACTTGCAAATTCCTGCAAATCTGCGTTCGCAGAAATTTGCAAGTTTCTCAACATGAGAGAGAATTTGAGAGATTTTTTCTTACTCTCTGATATTTTGAGTGTTGGATAACTCTTGCTGGATTTTCGACGAACAAACCTATTGTGTTTTTTAAAAAGTATTCGATACTTCGAGCTATTATGTAAAACTTAAGGAAATATGTCCTTTTATTCATGCAAATTAGTACCTTTTTTATTTAATATCAAAAAATCGTTTTATAATTCATAATCGCCACTATCACTTTGGTCTTGATCATCTGCTCCAACTTCTTCAAAATCACGTTCCAATGTAGCTAAATCTTCGCGAGCTTCGGTGAATTCTCCTTCCTCCATTCCTTCGCCAACATACCAATGAACAAAGGCACGCTTCTTGAACATCAGATCATACTTGTAGTCCAAATTACTAAATGCAACGGAAATAGCCGTAGTATTTGATAACATACACACTGCGCGTGATGTTTCAGCTAAATCTCCGCCTGGTACGCAAGCTGGTTTTTCGTAATTAATACCAATTTTAAAACCTGTTGGACACCAGTCAACAAATTGTATATGGCGTTTAGATTTAATAGCCGATACAGCTGCATTTACATCTTTTGGAACAACATCTCCGCGGTAAAGCATACAACACGCCATGTATTTCCCAGCTCGTGGATCACATTTAACCATCATGTTTGAAGCCTCAAAGCAGGAGTTGGTAAGCGCCATTATAGCATTGTGCTCATGTGAAGCATTCGACGAGGAAACCAATGGCGCATATGCCACAAGTGGAAAGTGTATGCGTGGATAAGGTACCAAATTTGTTTGAAATTCATTTAGATCAACATTCATGGAACCACTAAAACGTAGAGAAGCTGTAGTTGAACTAACTATTTGGGCAATAAGTCGATTAAGGTTGCGGTAATTGGGTCGATCGACATTCAAATTATGTTGACATATATCGTAAATTGCTTCATTATCTACAATAAAAACACAATCCGAAGTCTCTAAAGTTGCATGCGTAGTAAGGACTGCATTATAGGGCTCCACGACTGCTGTCGATACCCTCGGCGATGGATATACAGCAAAATCTAGTTTACATTTCTTACTAAAATCAGCATTTAGGCGTTCCATAAGTAAAGACGTAAATCCTGAACCAGTTCCCCCACCCAAACTGTGAAATATTAAGAAACCTTGAAGGCTTTCACACTGCTCTGCTGACTTTTGAACGCGATTCATAACTTTATCAATTGCTTCTTTTCCGATTGTGTAATGCCCACGTGCATAGTTGTTAGCTGCATCTTCCTTACCCGAAATTAGTTGTTCTGGATGATACAGGCTTTTAAGGGTACCATTGCGAACGTCATCGATAACTGTAGGTTCGAGGTCAACAAAAACTGCACGTGGTACATGCCTCCCCAATCCAGTTTCCGCAAAAAATGTATTTGAATCATTGGTCGTCTCATTAGTTTTTAAATCGTTGGACAATCCATCTGCCGTACTCGATTTTTCTTCTTTACATTTTAGAGAGCCATCAACATCAATTCCATGCTCTAAAAGATACAATTCCCAACAGGCATTCCCAATTTGTATACCACCTTGGCCAATTTGTATTGATATTACTTCACGCTTAAATAAAGAAAAATTAGAAGTATAATAAATATAATTTAATTATTACATTAACCTACCATTTTTAAATATAGATATGCGATAAAAATAAGATGGCTCTTGCAGTATGGTTATGCCTAGGCGAGACTGGAAATGCAAAAGCAAATTGTAAAAGAGCTGATACCTGGAGCGCGGCAGATTCCGTTAGTGGAAATTTCTTAATGGCCATACACATTAAAACAACCCCCACCCTTAAAGTTTAAAGTTTAAATATGCATATCCTTGGATGGTATGCAATTTATAGAAAGGAGGCGAATATAAATACACAGGAACGCTATATTGAATAATTTTTGGGAAAGATGCATTAAAACGAACTAAAGCTAAACTTACTTAAAAATCAATTCTTTTGTATTTTCTACAATACATACATAATTTATTTATTGCAATATGGTAATACATAATACCGAAATTTTTTTACGGAGCGTAACTCAAGGATTTATATTTTTCGGTTTTTGAATAAAAAGTATTTAAGAAATATCGTAAACGTTTTTTACTTAACTAAAAAACTACGTGCATGTTTTTCATTTAAAATTTTTAAATTCACTATACAACTTCCGGTATACGAAACAATTTATCG